ATCGTATCGATTGTTTTGTTACGCTGTTGCCATTCGACAATTCTGCCCGTCAGGAGAACGATGGAACAGCTACGGCCTACGATTCGTGGCGAGATTTCGATTCTCGCGGAACGTAGGAAAAGAACGACGCGAGGGAAAGAAATCCGAGAATTAAACAATACGTAATAATGTGTGCAAGGATGAACCTTATTATTCGTACTTGCAATGATGCTTATTTTTTTAATTAATGAAATTACATACGAGATACTTGACATGATATTCTCGAGAAACAAATTGTAAAAATGGCACAATATATATTCCGGGTATTCCACATACGAAAAACATGGAATACAATACAAATCTCTTGTTGGAAATGATATTTATTTATTTTTTATTTTTAAAGAGACACAAAAGGGACACAATTAATCGCATACGCTCTGTCAATCTTTCATTCGTCGCCCAGCGGAGATAGATTTTGTACTAACAACTGATTGCTGTCGCATGCGTACTTAGCGTATCATCTTCGCTGCGTCTGCACCTGTTCCAGTACGTATTTTGTTTTAAAAATTGGACCAAACGACTTGAGTTTTTTTGAGAAGCTAGAAGGATTAACTTATTAGATGACATGTTTTCGTTATTTCGAAAACATTACAATTGTTGGAATAGCGAAGAAAATAGTAAAAATATTAAGAAGTTCTTTTTTCATTTTTTTTCTGATCCTATAGTGAAAATTTAACAAATACCTCTTATACACTTAATTAAGATACATACACGCTGAAAATTGCAGGGTATAAGTTACAAACTATTAAAAGTGGTTAGACTTACAAGTTAGAGATACAAATAAGTTACAAAACTAAAAAAACTCGTACTTTCGACTTATAAACTTGAAGATTTTTTACTACTTTGGTGCTCGTAGCTTTTTTGCTTTGACCGACGAATTTTGTTATGACTGGGCCCGATAATGGTGGCCTGACCTAGGTCACTCTGAAAGTCACCATCGGGTGTCGATCGAAAACGAAGAGACAGGAATACTGTTTCGTTGAACGTCGACTAGAATGGTCATAAAACCAGCTTTCGATTTCACTATTGTTATTAAGCAGTATTATTGATATATATACATAGATAGTAATGATATACTTAGTCATGGCAATAAGGAAACTGTAACATCGCAGCTTCACTTTTCTTTTTCTTAGATATATAAGTCTACAAGAGGCATATTTCGAATGTTCATTATAGGCTAAGATAAAAAAGTTGAAAAAAGTGTCTGTTACTATTTTTGTGCGTGTTTTGTCAAACATTTCCCTGTACATTGTGAAACAACTAATTACAATTAAATCATTAAAACTTAATTATCTAGACTAATCTTTAACTTCTCATAAACATTCAAATCATTTTATGGATAACTAGCTGACGTACCCGCTCTCGCGCGGGCAGTTTCATATTGCAAATCATATTTTAGTTCGTATATACAGACTAGACTGTAATATACCGTGAATAAATAAGCAGCATAGAATTTTGGATAGTGCAATATGAATCACATCGATTTGCGGCTTTTTAAACTTTTTTGTCTGCCTCAGCTCATCGTTAGCTAAAGAACATTGTCGCTTGACTGTTCCTTCGACTAACTTTGGCCAGCAGGAATAAATGGGCTGTTGAGCGCCGGGCGAGAGGCCAGCGACTGACGATCGAAATACAATGTAAACAGATAAGGAATGAAACGCATGAATGCAAATTTAATCTTTTATAGTTTTCAGTATACATTCATTAAAGTGTCACGAATGAACTGAGGAGATTCTGTCGGTGGAAATGAGTCCAAATACGACATCATTCGGATTATTTTCAATAATATATCATTTTCATCCGCAACATTACGTATTAGTAATAATTGTCCAATTACACTTGAGTTTGGACGCATTTTAATCGGGAGAATTTCTTCAATTCATTCATGACATTTTCATTAAAATATATTGCAAATTGTAAAAGTTTAAATTTTCATTCGTGCGTCATTCCTTATCTCATCTATGTATGTTGACATTGTATGCCGATGGGTCGGTCGCTGGCCTTGGACGTTCGGCGAGAATCGAAATCTCGCCACGGGCCGTAGGCCGTAGCTATTCCATCGTTCTCCTCACGGGTAGAATTGCATGCGGGACATGAGGCAACAGCGTCAGAAAAACGATACTTTCCGGCAACACTGTCTTCGCGTAGGAAATACACAAATCCAGCTTCATGGTAACGGGGAACCAAATTTATTTGTGGGTACTGCCGCTAGATGTCGTATTATCAAGCCGTCCCAAATATCGATTTTGTGTTTCCCCTGGCGTCCGATTGTTTACATCAGCGCTTCGATCGATTCGCAGTTGGCCCCAAAGGAGTCTCCCCCTTAACACACGGAATGAATCACCCATGAATAAAAATTTAAACTTTTACTCCTTTCAGTGTACTTTCTTAAAAATGTTATGAGTAAATGTAGGAGAATCTCCTGATGAAAATAAGTCTAAACCCGACATATATCGGACTATATTTAATAACATGTTATATTAATTTACGCGTTATCAATACATTGAACATTAAGACGTACATAAATATAATACAATCGCTCGCGTAGATTTGAGGATTTAATAAGATTATTTTTTTAGCAAAATTTTAAAATTCAAGATATCACCAGCAACAAAATAATTTAGTTTCAAGACATAAATGGGACATTACATCAGATCTCGATTCTCTGTTATTTCAAACATCTAATACTGTATAATAAAATTGTTTCACTGGTATTTGCAAAACGATATCTTTAATATTTCTTTATACAATTGAGTAAATAAGAAAATAAAACATTATTTATATGACAATATTTTACATTTATATACATAATATTTAAGATATAAAGCATTACTATTGCAGTGGTGAAATTTTCCATTGATTTAATTACAAGGTACAAAAATGATTTGAAATGTTCCGAACCAGATCGCATGAAGATTAAGCGCGCTCTAAAAAGATTTACTTTCGTCGCAAGAATATTGCTAATCTAATAACAACAATTTCATAAAGATATAATAAAAAATGTAAAAATTTATATTTTCATGCATAGGTACTGTTATGGCGGCCCTGGAATGCCAAATACCGTTGCGTCACCTTCCGGCCACCCGATCGCGTTCGATGCCTAGATTATGGAATTTTCCATGGCCAGGTTGCACCCGGCACCAATATCTTGCAGGTCTGACGCGAACCCTCCCCTGTCGCCAGCCACGCAACCAGATATTAAGCACCGATATAAAAACCAGCGTGCAATCGGCGCGAGTGCCTTTTTCTTTTCCTAATTCGATTCTGTCTAAACACGGCGTACCGTTGCAACATTCGCTTATAATGAAATATATATACGTGTTGCACCCACTTCTCGACTTTTGTCTCTGGCCCTTGAGCCTCTGTATTCGGATCCCGGACTACATTCCATCGGAAACACCATCGATTCCTGCGAGGAGTCTTCACGTTCCCGACACCGTACTTATCTGAAGAGCCGCGGCATAACAGTACTAAATTGATTATCTTCTTATCTTCATTTTTCAATTTATCTCGTTTACTATCCCCATTTGTATAAAAGATATAAATTTATGTAAAAAAATGTGACGAAAACATATATCTGCAAATTTCTTACACTTTTATTCCGAAAATCTAAAGCGTTCACCAAAACTATGGTATTCTCTGCATAGACAGTTTCTTTAGGAAAAGTAGAAATGATCTCGAAATCTCAGAAATGCTTATGTTTAAAAAGAACGTGCTTTCATTTAAAAAATAAATTATTTAATGATTAAAAATTATTAGTCAACGTGCTAAAAAGAAATTGAGTTCCATATTTTGGTCCACTGATTTCTTCCAAACAAGTGACAATTTCATTTAAAATATTTAAAAATATATGCATTAATTGTAAGACAATTTATGACAATTGGGCACTTACAGCTTCCAAATTGTAATGGGCACCTTTGCGTATCCATTGGGAAATTTTCAAGATTCATTGGACACCCTGCCTTGATGGTTAGTCTGAAATCAAATATAAACGAGGTCAGTACAACATCGGATTTAAACTGTTACGCTGCATTTTTGCATTTCTGCGTAACAAAACATACGAATAATATTGAATATTGTCATACCATTGATAATACATCTCTATTTTTGACTATGATAATATTACACATGGCTAGACTACGGATGTTATGCATTTATAGTATTTACAAATGTAGTATAACAAAATATTTAATAAAATTCAATAAAGTTCTTATTCTACTTGGAATGTGATAGAATCCTTAATAAACAATTCTTATTCTTGTATTACGAGCTAGGGTCGCAGCAGCGCGAGAGGCCGGTGGAGTAGGTTTTTCAAGGAACATGGTTTATCAGTTTGTTAGTGAGGTGCGCGGACGAATCTGACACGAAGTCACAGAGCCGCTAGGATGATTGAAAGCAAGGACGTACCTGATGCGAAATCGGGGAGCCGCAGGAAATATGAGTTAAGCCTCGTAACTCGGTTTATAAATTCAGATATTTACAACTCAAGCGGTAAAGTTGTATCGTGTGGGAAAGGTCAACTAATGAATTTTAATAATAAAATTACTCACGTTTATTAAAGAATATTGCTTGAATATTACACAATCATTCTTTGGAATAAGTATGTGTAGTGTAGTGTTGTCGCGGTAAAGTGTTCAGTGTAAAAGATTACCGAATAGAACTTCAATCGAACTCACGGATTCTAGAAGGTTAACTGATGATTCGAAAGGGAAATTAAGCCCGATCTCACAGGATACAACCGACTCTTTGCCGGCTATAATACGTCGTGACTCTACAAGTGACTGTACTATTCTGGCCCACAGAGGGTTAAAATCAGAGGGTTTATATAGTCCCAAAATTGGGTGGGATTTACTTAGAATTTCTCTCTAAGGAAATCTTAACGGTCGCGAGTGAATCATGATTGTATCGAGGGTTGTTATCCAGTTGGTCGAGACGGCGCTCCCCTATTAGTTGAGGAATAAACAGACGGAGTTTCAAGGTGTTTTCTGTTGCCAGGCGCGCGGTTGAATACGATTGAAAATAACAATTATTCTCCATACGTAACACTAGTGTTAATTTCTATAAATTTGTTTATAAAAATCATGGCACAAATATAGTATTCTTTTCGCATTAACAGCGTCCCAGATCCTTTCAATTCCTTAGACCTTGTTTTTTCTGATATTTTCCTGTTCCCCAGAACTAGAATGGAGCTAAAGGCGAGGAGACTTGATAACACTGACACAAGTAATTGGAATGTAAGGAAGGAGCACTACAGATCCTCACCGAAAAACTTTTAACGATGATTTCAGAAATGGCGAGGATGTTGAACATTCGTTCGTATTATCAGCAGAAAACTACTTTGTGGAAGATTATTAATATTTAGTTTGCATTCCTTTCTGTAGACGTCAAGGAATTGTTCAATTTTTATTCATAGTGATTTTTTCGCATCCTATATCATTGTTACTATACATATATCACATGTTGGGTTAAAAAGTAAAGGCGTATTATTTTTCCAGCGGTGTCAGTGTACGTGCCATGACTATCGTACTTCGCTTGTATGTAGATTGTCTGGTAGATGATCTGGCTTCAGGCGGTTCTGATTCTAATTTTCGATCATTAATAATTTGAAAACGAAGCTTACTATACAATTCCGGTATTTTTGATTTTCGTTTTATTTTGATATGTAGAATCACCCTCTAATATTTCCGACAACAATAGTCGAGCACCCTGTAAGAGTTATTTTTAGATTTTTATCAATAGCAGCTCGTAAATCACAACAGTAATGATACTGGGTTGTTCTTACCGCGGATCATCTTCAAGCTTTTCGTCTACCAATTTGAATTTTTGGAACCACTTTTGTGCAGTAACGTTATTGCATTCAATTAATTTCAAATTCTACATAAATCTTCTGGGATGCCTCACATAGAAAATTAGGGAATCCGCAAATTCCGGAATTATGCAACTTCTTTTCTTTTTTGTAGTGCCCCAGTACGATTGTAGGGCATGAAATCATCCCTTAAAAACGATATCTGTCACTGTCTCGAGGGATTTCACGAAAAAGAAAATTCTGCATTTTCTATTCAAGGGGTGATATCATCCCCTAAAACTGTACTATGGTATCAACAGAAAATAGGCTTGTATTACGAACGAAGTGTTCTACTTGTACATAAAGTTGCAAAATTTTCTGAATTTCCAGGTTTCCCAATTTCTCTTGTTAGCGTGACTGCTCATAAAACAGACACGAACCAATAACAACGTCAGCAATTGATATTTTCTAGTGAGTTTTTGTACCAAAAATGATATGATTAGGACCATTTCTTCGTACTAACTCATGCAATCTATGTTTTTCTGGCCCTTGAGTGCGTAAAAGCGATGAAAAGTAATAAAATTTTTGGGAACTAGGTCATCGAAGTGTATGCTCGGAAAAAATTTCACGAACTTTCTGGGTTACAAAATAATTCAGAATGTAATGGGGTTAATGTCCATCTCCTCAGTCATAAATCAACTCGTATTAGTGAGACAGGCGCATATACATACATGGGAGGGAAGCGGAGGGAGTCGCCGACGACCCAACAGGCATATCAATTGGACCGTTTGAAATTGAATCTCACCGCAGATCCTCATCTATACGCGGAGTCTTGTAATTAATTGTCAAACTTTAGCGCAGATATTGCGAATAAATTTTCGTCGCTCTGTTCAGAAATTAAAAGGAGCAGGGAGATTAAAAACTAAATTATTAAATTTAAAATAAAGTTTTCCAGTCTTAAAAGGATATTTATTTGGTTAATTTCAATTAAAATGTTTAATTTATACTCTTATGTATCTATACTGATCTCATTAGTTACAATATAGAAGATTGACTTTCTTCTGTATAAAATTTAAAAATGGCTGAAATATTGAGTACTTTAGGAGCTAACTATGGGAACATATTTACTATATTAATGATCTTGTCATGTTATTAGCGGTTGATAATAGGTTTTATCTTATTCTGATTTATTCAGTTGTATCCATAATAAGTGTATAAAAGTCACAGTTGAACGTTTTTATACATTACCAAAATCTTACTCGCAACATTGCGAGTAAGAATTAATAAATTTTGCTTTTTTATTACCCAGTTTAATTTTCTGACGGTATTACCATGATATACTAATCCCGTAAATATAATATTTTTATAGCTGACTTCTAATAAGTCAATAGGTAAAGGGACTGCTTCGTGTAGCAATGTAGAGTACTTTTATGATGACTTGCTATAAATACATGTGGGGAAGATTAGGGCCGCGTGGAGAGAAAAGACAAAACATTAACGACGAACGTGGTGTGTGTGTGTGTGCGCGCGTGTGCGTGCGTGCGTGCGCGCGCGTGTGCGAGAGAGAGAGTGAGAGATAGGATGGGTGAGGGAGAGAAGGGGAGAGGGTTATGGAGAGGGTGAGGGAGAGGGAGAGGAGGTCTCGGGGAGTTGCAGGAAGACGGTCGAAAGGAAAGCGTGCGACCTCAGTAACCGTGTATTTTATACCATCTTGGTTTCATTTTTATATTAAATCTTTTATTATTATATGTGATTTATTCTCATCCTTGTTCCCATCTTACATACATGAGGAACCATTTTACATTTAATGGTCATTTTGATCGTTAGCTACATATAAAAGTTAAGAGGCAGTAATAATTCATGAAACTAATAAAATACATATGAAGCTGATTATTAATAAATACAAGTGAAACTGAATATTCGGTTAATTCAATTGCACAGTTCAGAAAGTAGTTTTTACTTAGCGTTCTAATATTTTTGCGAATTATAGGATCAAAGGTTAAACATTATATTTAAAACAACTCAAGGTGACCTTTACATCTCGATAAAGGAGCATAATAACAAAAAACTGATGATTACATTGTAAATCCCCTTTGATACCATATGATTTGCGTTTGAAACCGTTTCTTCATATACATATAACAAGCAATTTACAAGTAATTTAAGATGGTAGAGTTAAGTGACACACCTTTCATATTTTGTACCCTTTGGACTTATTCTTTTGAACACATAGTTAATTTCGTAATAAAAATTGTGTTGCAAGAGAAGAATTTTTGCTATGTACATATATAACCTGGATTTTAACCGCTTGCTTCATAATTTGCCTCGTTGTTACGATTTCAAACTGGGATTAATAATCATGAGTATTATTCATTTCTTTCAAGTCGAAGTAAAACGCTGGTTGTTTGATGTTAATATTTAAATTTTCCAATAAAAATATACATATGACAAACATAACATGGATTTTGCTACTAAACAAGTATTAATATTATAATAAAGTACGTAACTGCGCCGACCGATTTCGTCAAAGAAATCGTAAGTCATTTCGGCCAAGTTATGCAGAAATTTATCAACCCTCAAAATGCAAAAAAATTAGTCGAACACAGTACGGATCCCATAATCTTGTGATCTTTATTTTCCGAAAAATTACCAACCCATAGAACAAATCTTACGTTATACAATTATTAAAACTACCAAGCCACAGTTCTATTTTAGGCGTATAATTATATTAATATATGTATTATAATTATATTATTTACATCACTCACTATTAAATAAGCCATCAAAGACATTGTAAAACAACGAGAAATAAAATATATCAAAAAGAAATAAAGCTAGTCTTTTTTAAAAAAGTGAAAATTTTCAAACTAAGTTTACTTCATTTCAGATAATTAAGGGTTGGTAGCTTTCTGCATTACTGGGCTCAACTGTGGTGGAGTTACCATGTACAAATCAATAAAAGCGACCTTCGGTATATAACAATCCAATACATTCCAGAAGAAAAGAATTTTCTTTTTCAATTGTTTCATCAATAAATATGGATTAACCAAGAAACTATTGGGCCTCGCCATGTTCTTAACGGGGTAAGCCGCTCGAAAACCTGGTGTTACAATCACGGATTGAATCAAACCGACGACTCTAATTTCGGCAAGTAATTGCTACTGTAAGTTCAGGTAACCCGAATAATCGT